AATGCTATGTCGGCTCCTGTTCGATGGATTTATGGCGCCCCCTTACTACATGCCTACTCTTGTATTTCTGTACAGCCGCAAATTTAGGGTCAAGGGGCGCCTGACCGTCTATGGACCAGGTGGAGTTTTTGTCCTGAAAATTTACCTTTAGACGGCAATTCTCTTTATATTTTGTCTATGGTTTTTATGCCCCCCCCCCCTTTCTCGCGGACTCTCTTTTCACTTTTCTTGCCTCCTTTTTCCCTCCATTTCCCCCCTTCTTCCTTGCTTTCACTGCCCAACCTTGTTTCCTTTTCCTTTTTTTCCCTTGTCCTTTCTTCCCTTTTTTTCCTTTTCCCCCCTTTTTTCCCCTCTCTTCTTCTTTCGTGGCGCCCCCAAAGGCTGGCGCCCGTGTGCGCCGCACGCCCTGCACACGCCCTAAGTCCGGGCCTGGATAAAACACTACATGGAATTCAGCAATTCTCTTCTCTTCATTTATATATTTTTAGAGATAATTCTAAATAAGAGCGTACAAGTAAAACGACTTTTACAAGTGGGCTCCCTCGTTGCTCAGCGATGTAATGGCGTCATCATGGACTACATTTTGCTATTCAGAACTATAATTTCTGGCTCATCTGAAAAAACACTTGTGTGCATAAGGAAACTGACGGCACATACGTTGTTCCTAAATGAAGCCAGAAATTGTGGTTTCTAATGGCAAAATGAAGTTCATTCGATCGATTAACCCTCTCGAAACGTAGCGGTATGGATTCTACAAAGCGGAGGGTATGAATTCGATAGGAAAGTGAAGACGTGAAACGATCGGTGTGATTCCATCGACACGAGTTTGATCGAAAAATTCAATTGAAACGAGAGAGTAAAAAAACTGTCTCGATTCGATTGCAAACCCGTGAGCCAATCGACAATATCCATAAATCGATCGAAAAACCCGTAAATGGATCGAATCTACACTGGTTTTTTTTAAATAATTCGTCAGTCGAATTGGTGACGATTGGTTCACGTCCATCGATTCATGTCGATCAAATCCATACCTACCCTCCTTTCCAAGCCTCCAGTTTTAAAGTAAAGAGCCTGTTCACAGAATCATTAAGACAGGCGGCTCCTCATCCATACCAATCTGAATTGGATACCTAGGTACGGGGTATTTTGATGTTGAACCCGGCCCCAAAACTTTTCCTTCCTACATGGATGTAGCATTTGCTGATATTGCAACGAGGAGCAGCATGGTACCACGGTAGAGGAAACACTAAATCAGGCTTGGTCCAGGGTATCAAAATTACTTGATACACACTAATTTAATAATGCGTCCACTAAATGAGCACTTATTGGAGACAGGCATAATGAACGCATTTTTTTAGATAAGTAGGACTAAAGATGTCTAATTGATGTTAAGAAATTGAGGATTTTTTTAAATGTTGAAAGTAAAATGTTCCAAAAAATTTCAAGTGATGTATTATACAGTATCAAATATATTTCATGGATTCTTTGAAAAAAGGCAGTCAAGCTCTCAGAGATTTCCACCTGATAAACAAGAAGTTGACAGACAAATAACAGGTTGCCCTGACAAGCTACATGATTGGGTCTTACAAACTGATTTAATCGGCTTAATGTTAAAATTGTGAAGTTGTGTCTTTTTTGTTCCTTAATATTTTGAGCAATTTAGATCCTCATGGGATTTGAAATCATAACACTAAACATATGGAGTCTAAGGTATTGGTTGGTATTAAAGTTGAAAGTTTTGCCTCTTTAGTTTGGAAAAAACAACTGAATAGCACCAATTAACATTTTCAAGGCCCTCACATAACAAAATTAAAATCAGTTCAAATTATCGTTAATTTGACTAAAATTTGAACACACCCGCATCAGGTAGATCAAAGTTTGAAGTCAGTTTCTCCTTCAACAATTTTTCATTTTCATTCCCTTACTCCTTATTTTATACTTCTATTTCCTAGGCAGCGGGCTAATTCTTGAAATTTTGTGTTTGTGGGGTGGACATAGGTTAAACGGAGAAGCGTGATTGGATGGCTAGGTATGTCTTATTGCTGCTTTGTCATGTTTTTGTCAGGTGGAATTCATGACAAGCTAAAGGCACCTCTTGAGCCTCCGACAGAAGGTCGTCTATTCCACCTGACAAAGGCACAATAAAGCAGCAACACTGGGCCATGAGACATAGGCCAACCAATCACACTCTGCTGTTTAACCTATGTCGGCCCGGCAAACACAAAATTTCAATAATCGGCCTACTGGAAGTATATTTTGGAGTGATAAAGAAAATGCTGAGGTGAAAAACTACAAGTTGATACAAATCATCGGCTATTTGAAAAAGACAAATCAAAATAAGATAGAAAACTGGGGTCAAAAATTTCACACATAAAAGAATCCTAAATTAAAAAAGTTACAAGCTGAATCAGAAAATTCCAGCCGCATTTTGGAGTTATAAGACTAACATTAAACCCAGAAAAAATTTGTGAATTTTCGAGTAGCCAATGATTTTACTCGAAGTGCAAAAGTTGTTGATCACTAACTGAGCAAAAGGGTTAAGCATTCCATGTTCCTTCTTGCATCTTGATGACATAGTTTATTTTGATTGTTTGAGAAAGAAGCCTCTATTTCATCTCAATTAACAGGTGCAGTTGGATTGGAAGTTATACATTTCATAATTACATATCAACAAATATTAAATAAGTAAGTAACACTAATTTCATTCTATACTCTCTAAATTTTTTCATCAAAATTGAAATACAAAATAAAATAAAATAAAATTTACTACACTACAGATTATTTTGTTTCCCTTTTTTCTTTTTTTAATCGAAACAAAAATATCACAGCTTTGGATGTCATTTTGATCATTTTGGTAACAATTTTGGCTTAGTAAGCGATAGGGATATTTCAATGTAACAATGAGAGAAACGTCCATGAATATAGTTTATCATACAAATATCTCCCCTTCTATGGTGGGACTAAGAGCAAAAAATACAGTTCTATCACAGAGAATTTATGATGACAATGGTGAAAAAATTTTGTTTTTACTTAGGCATCTAAACAATTAATGACACTTCCCCTCCCTCCCCCCTGTGTGAAGAGTGACCTCTTAGAAATAGCATCAGATAAGTTAGCAGTTGTTAACTTTCCGTATGCAAGCAACTACAATGCTTCTAGCCAATAGTAATCAAGGATTGACCAAGTGTGATAGTAGAGGTATTGCTAAAACTGTCTACTGCATGTTACAATCGAAAGTAAACAACTACAAACTTATCTGTCCTTGATAGTATACTTAAAGAATTTGTCTGATCTAAATATTATTTCATAATAGAATCGTTTTACTTAAAAAAATCTATAGTTGTAAAACACAAAAGAAGAGGAATGCAGTTTTTCAGGGTATGCATGTCCCTACTTGTCTTGAAAATATAATACAATCTGAATACAATACATGCTTCAAATAGATAAAAAAAAAATAATACACTTTGTCTAACATACAAATAAAAATATGTACAAGACTATCTTTAGGAATGATTAGGAGGATGATCATTATCAAAAGTAATAGAAAATGGATTGTCTTTCCCAAAAAAGTAAATCAATTAATGAACTGTTAAGATGAGTGTCTTTTTTTCCTGGTAATACCTTATTTTTTTAATACTTGTTTTTTTGAAACTCACTTCTACGAAACCTCTTTATTGAGAACAAAGGAAATGTCAAACATTTAACGATGGCCGAATTCAAATAGACGCGGCCTGGGGGGTTGAATTCCATTTTCCATACACAATGATGTGCTGACTGGAATTTTTCATGGCTGACATTCAACATGATGCAGAGTTCTGTTGAATCCAACTTGATGAACAATAAATGGAAACCTCTTCATACCAGCACATGCAGCAGAGTAATCACCATAGAATGAGGTCACTATAACTGCACCTTCAAAGCGTGGATAGAATTTAAGTATTCGTAAAATAGCTTCATTTGCTGCTTCAAAGGCAGTTTTTCCTTGACGGAGGAGCTCCACAGCTAAAAAGCTGCAAAAAAAATAAATAAAACGGTATAGAAAAGTGAGATTAAAATACCATGCTTAAAATTGCCTACATACATCTGATGATGAACATAATTCATTTAGGGGATCTACAGCAGAGGCGTGGCGTGCATTGCTATATATCGACTGATGTGCCATTTAAACCTATAGAAAAGGACCAATGAACTGAGTGTTCACAACGAACACCTTAGTGATTCATTCTTCACCATAGCTTCAAATGGGGAAATATCGATAATCGATCCATGCCTTGCCACTGATCTACATGTATCTTCACAAGTAACCTCTTGGAGCTTAATTTGGCTCAGAACCTTTAGAAGTATGGAGAAAATTGCTAAAGTATTAAAATCAACTTGAATTTAAAAGAGATTTTGATCAAGGGTGCAGGAATTTCTTGACATTTGAAAATTCATCATAGAAAATTGTGTGGGCAGCTCGCGTGAGCAAAAAAAGGCATGTTTTCTGCAAAATTGCAGCTGAATTTGAGTTTCGAGCAAAACCCGGGGGTGGGAATCATTTCCGGAAAATTTTGGAGAAAAGAGAGTTTTTAAAATGACTAGGCTAAGATTCTTCTGCACCCCTGGCACTAGCAGTAAACAATAGTGAACAAACAAGAAACTAAAAACTAACAAACCTTGGTGCAAATCTCATCATGACATCACCATTTCCTGTTGCTGCAGCTGCTCCAATCCCATTTTCAGCGTACGCTCCAGATCCTGGAATGGGGGAGTCTCCTACCCTCCTGCGGAAGAAATAAGAGTTTAGCTACAATCGTTTCCAAGATATGGGAACATTTAAAAACGGAGGTGAGAGCTGTGACAATGTTTCTCTTGAGAGCGAGAACTGTGGATGAGGTACCAAAACTCTTATGAGAATTTTTTTTTCGATCAAATTGGATACAATTTATGGGAGACTGTCCACAAAAAAAAGAACCCTCTTAGTCCACAAAATTCAAAACTGAGTTCCCATGTTAAAGGATAGACAAATTCTCTAAAAACATTTAAAAGGCTAAAAAATGTTAGATCAAACTATAGTTATAGGACTTTCAAGTTTAAAATTCAAAAAAAGTAGTTTCAAACAGAAATGTTTTTAAAATCCTAATCTGCAATGTTGGGGGTACAAAAATGCCAAAATATGACTTAGAATTCCTAATTGGCACAAAAGTGGACTAATTTAACACTAACTTTAGTAACATCGGACACTAAACACACTTAATTTCTAAACTTTCGGACACTTTAAAGTTTTCAGCTGAAACAAAAACTGTTTTTTTGACCCGCCTAAAAATCGCTCCATTGAAAATTTTTCCTTCGTGAACTGAGGTCCTTTTTACCAAAAAAATCCAAAATCCTTGTCTGAACTCACTCACAATGCTTTACCTTACAAACTTTACAAGCTTTGGAAACAGGTGGAAAGCTTGAATTTCACTCAAAAAAATGGACACCAATAAAACCCAAGAATATCTTGATTTAATCAAAGGGGATGATCTCAATAAAGATCGAATAATAGTTGACAGCAAATACTTAGAAGAGCATACCCTGGAATTTTAAACCGTGCTCCATTTGTAGATGTGCCAGCTGCAATGTTGCCTTCCATATCAACAGCAAGTAGTCCTATAGTGTCGTGGTTCTGGGAGTCAAACTCAATACTAGAGCCACTGGCTCCATCAATTTCTGGATAAAATTGATCAGGCTTCGGGAGAGGAGAATACGGACCGCAAGTTGCTTCTGCGTCAGGTCGAACATTCTAATTGAATAACAAAAAGAGAATGTATAGATTAACTTCATTGAATTCCATATGATATGTAGGCAGTATTTACTTCTGTCCTATTGAACTTAATATTGCTAATGATTTATTGATGATTCCAACAATGATTATTTGGCAGTTTGAAATTCTCTTGCTTCATCCGTACTTACTACTTACAAGTTATTGACTTATGATTCTTTGGTTCCTACACTGTGATAAAGTATTTGCTCTCTTTTTATTACTATTTATCTTGGTTCTCCCCCCCCCCCTTATCTTTTTGCCGTTTTGACCACAATGTCTGTAGCCTCATCTGATTATTTTACTTTTACTGTAGTCAGTCATTTTGCAGTGCTCAATTTAATATTTTTGTTCTTTCTGACATTGTTCATTGACAGTTCTACTAATATGTTTTGGTGCAGGGACAACAATAAATAAGAACCACACGGCAAGTCTTATGTGAAAGTAGTGTTCAATTGCAGCTGCAAATTTTTTATGCTATCATTTTGGAAGAGGGTAAATTTATGCAGTCTTCTTGGTGAGAAAAGAATTGACCTACCATCCAAAAATTGGGTTGGCAATTATCTGCTTTCCATTTTGTCCACATGCTTTTTGAAACATTAGTTGTTAGAGTTTCCCTTTTGAAACCCATCCTCTCTGCAAATTCTGTTGCTCGCTCCCCCACAATCAAGGAGTGTTGAGTGTTGTCTAGCACATGACGAGCAACTGAGATGGCACTTTTGATTTCGCGCATAGCAGCAACAGCTCCAATATTCATGGTTGCACTTGAAAAAAAAAAAAAAATGGGGTGAAGATAAAAACACAACATAAAAAATGGATGGTAATTTATAATACAGAGATCAAATTTATTTTTCTGTTATTTCCTTTCATTCATCTTATAGAGAAAAAAGAGGAGGTGTTTGCATCTTGAGGTTTGTTTACCCTATGACTATGACATAGGTCGGTACAACCTGGCCAGCGAAATCCGGAATTCAAAGTATGAAAAACGGACCATAATGTCCCATTTTTGTACTTAAATCAACTAATGATATAATTTCAAGCACTTTTTGTAGAATGACTTTTTTCCATAAATTACACCATTTCCATGAAAATCGATGATAAACGTCCCTGTACCGACCTACGTCATCAAAAAAATTCCAAGATGCCCGGAATGCAAACACCTCCTTTTTTTCTCTATGCATTCATCTATTCAAAATTGCCAATAGTAATGAGGTACATGGAAAAAACCTTGATTATTTTAAGAGAAGTAACATTTCATGCACATGCGCTTGCAGACTCAACATCAGCATTTTTGTATCTTAATTGGTTGTTCATCCTAACAATGTTGCCAATCTTCCCACACAAATTAGTAATTTTGACAGGAAAAATTGGGTCTTTTGATTTATCCTCATGAGCTGTTAGTTTGCTTACATCAACTACTTACTTTATGTTTATATTATACATGATCAATTGATGTTTCACCAATGTTGATGCATTAATAATGTATGAAGTCTCCATTTTATGCAACAGCCTAGTTAGTTCAACTAGCGGCTGGAGGTACACGAGAGAAAGACAAAATAATACGCAAGTATAAGATAAACATGATAAATCTTCAATTTACCCATCCATAATCATGGCATCGAGCGTGGTTTCACCATTTTCGTCAGGACTCCCACCATATCCTACTGTTCCATCACACTGATCCAACTCACATGCTGTGCAGCCTAACTCAACAGCATTCAGAGCAGAGCCACCCGCAAAAATGACTTTCCATGCTGGAGGAGAAGAAATTAGCAATATATTAATTAGAAAATTTTGAAAGGAATGTTATTCATATTTTGTAAAACGGTCAGTATGTACCTACCTATTTGCTTTCCCTGCGACAAAACTTATCAATGTGAATGTCTCTGAAGACCAGTTGACATTTAAGAGACAGTTTTCATAACAAACGAAATCATAATTGGAAGTTTTCAATCTTGAATACCCAGTGCCTTAACAAACCTTCCACAATCCAGAGTGATACTTGGCTCAGAAAATAGACAAGGAAGATCCTGAACAAATTTTATGATTAAATAAAGAAAATGCCCATAAGAACATGGTGGTAAAACAAGAAAATCAAATTTTTGGGCCAAAAAGGAAAAATAAAATCACAGATTTCTTGTTACATTTATCATTTTCAGAAGATTATCAATTGATACCCCTTACAATTTTTGGTGATTTTTCCTCCACACTCCCAGGAATGTCTTCTGAAAATATAGCACTGGGATATCTAATGAAGAATTTTAAGGAAAATTAAGTGGGTACGGAAATTCATGGTCATTGCAGTTCAACTGCAAGTTCTCATTTAAGGAGATTTGTTCTGGGTTCTTGATTTCATCAAACTAGTGTTCAAAATAATTCATCTAATGTAGTTGAAAAATCTTGCCAGATTTTTACTTTTTATCCAAAAAAAAGGACAATAGCCTCTGTGCACAAGTCTAAAGAATCATTCTCAGCCAAAAAAGTGTAAAATTTGAAGAAATGAAAGCAGGAGCCGTCTACTAAACAATGCTGCATTCGATACAGAGGTTGATTACTGTATCGTACCTATCCAACTTTTTTTCATAAACAAATCTTTGCTATCATTTCTCAGAATTTTGCAAATCTTTTGGTGATTTGGTTGATTAAAAATAATTATTTATACTGATGAACAGGGGCTATCATCCTTTTATCTGGCTAAAAAGAGTTAAAATCTGTCAAGAATGTTGATTTGATGGATGCAACAAATTGCAGTCCAGTTTTCCCTTGTGGAGAACCTATGACGAATCACTGTTTAAGTTTTACTAACGCATGATGACCCATGGCCGATGATCTCTGCACCACTGAAGGCTCATCAATGTATTCTGAGAAAGGAATGGAACGGACACCACCCTCATCTTGTACCCAATCTTATCAGCCAACATAGAGGTGTTTTCAAAGCTTAAGAATATAAATGGAACGACTTATCGAGTCACAAACCTTCATCATTGGCTCGTTCAAAATTCCAAGTGTTGATGACTGTAGGCACAACAACCAGCTTATCCCTTTCGCCAAGTATATCAGGAAGAACAAGGAGAGCAGTGAACAGTAAAAGTAGAAACAGAATAGAGAAGGTGATGCAATATCGCCAGCTAAACCAGCTTGGTTTATTGCTAACGGCAGGAGATCGTACATGCGCCATTGTAAAGCAATTTCAAACTTCACAGGACTAGAGAAAGAAAATACACATGGACTGATGATCAAGCAAACAAACAGTTAAAACTTAAAATGTGTGGAGATAAGACAGTAGAATTGACGCTGAATGTTTCGCACTAATTTTTTCAGTCCTCTAATTCGTTTGCCAATTCTTCACTCACGGAGGAATGCATGAAATGTAATACCTATTTTTACCTTCACTGGCTGACGATTTCACACTTTTTGGTAATTAAATTGACGTCGATTGTCACAGAACTGTCAGAAATCACAAGTACTTATAAATCAGAGTGTAAATACGAAACTACGAAACTCGAGTGCAAAAAATTACCGGTGAGCTCCGAATGTTGAGTTGTTTTGTTTACAAAATTATTAAGGTTAGTTTTGTGTTATCAATTAATTGCGAACAAGCATGACATGTGCTCCTTTGAGTGATCGAATAAATTATTCAAACGAACATTTATTGAGTTATCCTATCACCGATTCAAGTATTTCGTCATTTTGTGTTTATTATTGATGTTTAATAGTTCTTATACTCCTATCCGTTGACTTCTCTCAACGCTGCTACAATGTCTTTCATCAAATTCAATCCAAAAGACAAGCGAAAAGTTCTTACCCTTCCGGGAACTAGACAAAATTCTTCCAAGAATGTACTCTTAACTCCTAGTGGGATTATTTCCCTTGATCCTGTCATAGGTAAGACATTTAAGCGTTAATCAAAATTATTCACACATCTCTGGAGTTTTGTATACTTACTCACACGAGTGATGAGAAAAGAAGGTGATGATGGTTTCCGATTCGTTCATCCAGTGGCTACAACATACCATTCACATTCCTTCCAAATAAGATATTCAGTGTATGGAAATTGTACCATAACGTCTGTTGAGGTGTAATTGAACACTACACGTAATTTTAACAACACTACTACTTAATGTATTATTTTTGTTCAGCATATCATACCATTCGTAAATAGATTGATGACAAAAAGTCTGTACCTACCTACTCATGTCATTGACTTCTTACCAGGATGCTTGAAATGTAAGCAAGTCCTTTTCTTCCCTTTTTGTCTTGCACAAACGTATTTACCATCATGTGAGGTGCGCCCTTCATATAAATTGATCTGTTTCTTATTTCATCCTCGGATAATTTGTAAACGTAAAGCAAGGATGTAAATTACCTTAATTGTTCATACCAATTAAGTTATCGTAATAATATTAAATATTTACTTTGAAACTTGCAAAGGAGGACCCCAGATTTTTTATTACAGTCCATAATCATTGAGTGCTACTGTCAAAATTACTTAAACGCTTCCATTACATTGTTGTGCTTGTACTAAGCATCTAATGGAAAAATGAAAATGCCTCTATCCTCGAGCTCATCTCTTTTGTCTTTCAATTTTTCCGTTTTTTATTTTTTTCAGGGGGAGGAGTAACTCTTGGAACTGTCAACCTCATTGGTATGTCATGCATATTTGCAAATGTTTTTTAAGATGTTTAAAATGTGGAAAATTACATACCAAAGCTGAACTCAGAACCAAGTATTGCATCTTACATTCAGTGGAGGCTTGGTCAGAGAGCATTGAATATAATAAGGAGCGAGTTTAATTATGACATTTTTTTGAGCTACACCTATACAAGACTTTTTGTCTTCCCAATGATTTTTAGACTTTTAGTTCGCATTTTATCGGGATGCATTGATTTACTTCCTTGACTTAAAAATCATCAGAAAGACATCAAGTCAAGTTAGTAAATCAATGCACACGGATACAATGCTAACCAATATTTTTTTGAGTATCAGTATTTCTACTTTGCCAAGCAAAATTACAAATTCCACTCCAGATTTTACTTTCTCAGACATGGCACTTCACTAAAAGAAAATCTTAGCATGTAGATTTTTGTGCTGTCTGGATAAATGCTCGTATAGTGATGGTATTTATCCTCTGAAAGGAAAGGTACATGAGTGTAAATTTTGCCTCGTTCCATGGTAATATGTCTGAGAAAAGCTCCCAAATCTGGAATGGAAAATGGCTGCTCTTTTTAGCATGGCGGGTTTGTGCTAAAATATTATGTTTTTAAGGCAAGATAGATAGGGCGTTTAAGCATGCATTGCTGAGTTTTGTCAGCCATCTAAGCATGGAAAAACATAACTCCCTTAGTTTTGTTAAAGAGGTCAGTACACCAGAAGTTACCATTCACTCCAGAAGATTTTTTTGGATATGATTTCCATGTCCTGAAAATCATATTTTAATTCCCATGGATACAAATTTTTGACTTAAAACTTTTTTCTTCTTTGCCGCTTTAGAGGACGTATGGTTGATTATAGAAGGGTCAATAAATGTGTAATGTCATCTGACAGCTATGAGGTTTACTGCAGCCGAGCTTGGTATAGTTATAAACAGGTTACGCTGTAATAGTCTTGATAAACAGGAATCAGGATCTAGAGGGTTCAGCATGCAAATCTAAATGTTTCTTTCCCCACCATGGTTTCATAAATTCAGTTTAAACAGGAAGGAACATCGTCGTTTGTCTGACAAGTGATTCATTTCTGTTTTTTTTTTTTCATACAGAGGAAGATGGCTCTGGACAATTTGCTCAGTTATTCTTAAAGTTTTTCATGTCTGAAGGTATAATGTGGAAACATGTGATATTCAATGCATCATTGGACGTGGATCCATCCAAATTAGTAAGTTCCTTTAATCTCTGATAGTTTTCAAAACATTTTTTCAAATATTTTAAGTGTTCTGACATGTGTGACAAGTGTGTTAACATGAACATGAACATGAACTTGAACTTGAACATGAACATGCCATCATAGAAAAATTAAGAAATAATTTCAAACATAACTAGTCTTAAAGTGCTCTATGCATGACATGAATGTCAGAACAAAATCATCATTAGTCTTTAAACACCAGTCTAAACTTTTTTCTGGCTCTATGTGATTCTTCAAATTTGGACCTGTCTTTCTTGAAATCATGTACACACATATTAATCAACCAATCACTCATCAACAAAGCCATAATTTATTTTGTATTATTAACCACATGAATTAACTGAATCACTAACTGAATCAACTACTGCAACGAACCTCATGCAGATGACCGAATTCCAGAACGGTATTTTTAAAAATCTTCATTTTTTAGTGGGTCAAAAACTTACGATTTTCTGCTGGATGGCGTCTATGATAGGCAGTGTCATTAATCTTGACTGACATAATTTGAAGTATCAGCAAGTCTTACGACATTCATCAGCTATTGCAAAGTTGAAAAAAAATTGATTTCCATGTTTTCAGAGTTTTTTTATTGGTGTGACTTGACACGAATGAGGTTTTCTTCTTAACTTAACGTTTTTTGCTCCATCAGATTAATGAATTGCCTGGCCCAGTGAACTTGGATGATCCTTACTTCAAATCAGATGGTTCAGACTCATCTGGTGAGCTTAAAATTGCTTGGCGTTATCAAAATCAACCATCAGTCCAATCAAGTCTAAGCACAAATTCTTCCCTCAGCCATATTTTTGATGTTACCAATTTCATGACTCAAGATACTATAAATGATACGGATATATCCCTGTGGCCGCCTAAAGATGGTAAGTTTAATTTAGAGATTTTTGTATGTCCTTTTCTCGAGAGTTACATATTTTCTGCCTCATTTACCTTCGGCTTTCATTAGCTCAGAATTTTTTATAATATCTAATCCAAAGATCTTCCTGACTGCATGGAGGAAGTGGAATATCTTCAGTCTCAATATCTTTATTCAGACAATTAAGTAAAATTTTGAATGCAATTATTATATTTGTTTTCATGTGTCCAACATTTTTTATGTAACTTGGTGTTCAAACTTCAAGCAAGCAGAGTGTGTTGAGCCTTTTTGGGAGGATGGACATTTTGTGAAGGTGCCTTGATTTTTAGGTTGGCTTGGAGAAAATTTGATCACCTGAAAAAGTATTAATTCACACACCAACTCAATTTAGCCTGACCTAAATGTGCTGCTTACAATTGTACATATAAATATTTTCATTTCTGAACAGTCTTCATGTGATTATTGTTATGTCCAACAACAGTTTTTGGTTTCTTCAAAATTATGTGCATTCAGTTAACGAAATTATCATTTTTCTGTTCACACACATCTTTTGATTTTTTTCTCATATTCATGAAGATGAATCGTTCTGATTTGAGCTATTGAGCATTTAGTAAGTACCTATATAAAGAAACAATTTTCTTAAATTTTGGAAAAAAAAATTAGGTTCCTTTTTTTTTTTTTAAGTGAAACATCTTGAAGAAGATGAGACCCTGCCCTTTGGAACAACGACTGTCATTGATTATTCTAGATTGTAGAAAGCTAAAACAATAGAGGACAAAAACGTGAGTTTTTTGAGCCTTTTCAAATTATTCTTTTAATGAATGGACTTTTCGTGCGAAGTATTTATACTCTAATGAAATGTCTTTACTGTTAATAATTTTCTATTGAGTTTACGCCAGCATCTCTTTCTGTCTTTCAGGTGAAGAAATCTCATATGATGATTTAATCAAAGCAATCCATAAGAAAATTCAAGCTGGTGGTTTTCTATCAAGTTTACCAATGCCTCGCAAAAATGTATTGCGGATAAGTTTGCATAATATTGGATCTCCTTTATTTGTCGGTGACATAGCTAAGTTCTTTTATGAGCTACGATCTCTAATGAAACACTCAAACGCAGTTTGTTGTGTCAGCATTCCAACTCATCTTTTAGAGGTAAAACCTATTCTGCATTTATTGAACTTTAATCAAACTCAGGCAGGTTGAAAGCAGTTTTTAAACTTAAGCAGTTCTGTACTAGTATCACTATTTTGGCTTCAACCTTTGTAGGGACAGGTGCTTACTGACACTCCTCACCAGAATGAATAAATGTCTAAGTTTTTCTATAAATTTTCCTGAAATACTATTTTGATTTAAGTTTAAGCATATCGTCAATGAGGAAACTCTGTAAAGTAAACAAATATCAAAATGTATTGAAAAAGGAGCTTTGGCTCTGAACATTGAATTATGGGATATATAGACAAACCGTCCATTCTAGGTTCAGAGGCTGCAAGTCTCAGGGTGTAGGTTCCATAGCTTCCCCTGCTTGGAGCTGAGTGGCTGAGGCAGCAGTCCTAAGCCCAGTGCTAATAGCAGTTCTACCTAGCCCGTAATCTACGCATTCTGAGCTGGAGCTTTTTTTAAGGGTATCAAACAAATTTTACAAGAATACTAGTTTGTTTCTAGTTGCGGCAAAAATTTTTAGAGGCGCATTTCAGCTTTTCTCTCTCACAAAATCTTTTTTGAAAACCAAATTGGAGGCCATTCTTTCTACACTCAGATTTCAGTGTTGGATTTGACTTTACTCCACCGTGCACCATGTTTAAGTCAGAGAGTTTTGGTATTATTTTCGGTGCTATCTTTTTTTCTTTAAACTTTAAAAAATACTCAATTTTCAGGAAAAAGAAATATCAGCCTGTGAACATCTCAGCGATTCTGTGTTGAAATTAGTGTCATTGGTAAACAGTGAGGATCGTTCTTTAAGTGAATATCATGGCCTCTTGACAATCAAAAAGCTGCCTGCTGTAAACTCACTTGCTTTTCACATTCCTCCAGGAACTGATTGGGCTTTCAAGCTACGGAAAAGACGCTTTATAATCGAAGTAAGTTTAAATTTAAGGATTGATTTAAGTTTTTTCTTGTCAAAAGCCACAATTTAGGCCATGAAATCAATAATTAGTTTTTCTTATTCCTCCTAGAACCAAGTTTCTTTTTACCTACTTGTGATCTTTTTGTAGTGGTGGAAGGCAACATTCACAACTGGCAATATTTCACGCATTTAGATGAATTACAGTCAGTGTTCAAATATTGCAAAGATTAGGGGCCAATCAGTCAGCTCAATCTGTGTTTAGCAGCCATCTTGGTTTTTTAGGGCTTGAAATGGTTTCTTATGAGATAATCAATGATGAGAACCAGATGTCTATTTGTACTGTAGAATCTGGCTCTTTCTAATTGATTACACTTTTTCTCAGCTTTTTTTCACCTAATCAATCCTTTACCTTAGCATATTTGAGTATCAATCAAAAAAGTTTGTCAAGGTTTCAGCGATTTCATACCTTGCTGAAAGCAAATAATTAGATGCCAATAAGAAATATTCAGCCAAATTTTGTGCATGGCATCCGTCAGATCTGAACACTAATCATAATTGTTTGCAGCTTGCTTTCTCCAATAGTGCAGTCCATCGTAAACTACCCATGTTGGTTCTGCATGTTGCAGAAGTAAGTTCTAAGTAATAGTTCAATCTTAGAAATCAGACAAGAATAATGAAGTTTGTTTAAACACTAAGTTTCTACATCCTATCTCATTGAAAATAATGCCGGAGGGAAAACCTGGTGAATGATGTTGTCCACCGCCTTATTGCATGATGTGATTTTTTCCTCCTCGATAACATTAATCAAAGTAACAAAAAAAAGAGAACATTTTTGTACAGTTATATAAGACATCACTCACCTCATTTTCAAAGGATAATGCCCCTGTTACTTATTTGATTTTTAAAATTTACTGATCAGACACATTTTTTTTTCTTTTTTTCCTTTCTTATTCATCATACTGCTATTTAAAAAAAATATACAAATTCTAATCTATGATTTGTTCACAGAAATTTCACTTGCCTCCTGAACTTCAAGAGTCAGATCAGAGAGAGCAAGATGATTTTGCTGGGACTTGTGGGACGTCTTCCAAATCAAAGCTTGACTTTTGATCTCCATCTTTGAATGCTCGCTTATGTTGTAAGTTATTTGTTTCACTTATATCTCTCTGCAATGCACTCCGCCGGTCCTCACTTATTTTTTACTCTTTTGAAGGATGGCCGAGCATTGTTACTAATTACGCATGATTTTTCTGTATCCTTTCATGAATATTCACTGAAAATTTCAAGGGAAAGTATTTGGTACTAGTCTCATTCTATTTTTCTATTTGAAGCAGGTAGTTGGGAACATTTGAGAACGTCTAGATTGGTGTCCTCCTTGTTTCATCATCAGATAAAACAATTTACTTTTCAATACCTTTTTTTTTTACCATTCATATTATTCACATTAAACACAGATTCTACAAATCATCATTTAACATGTCCATCATCTTGTTTTCTCTACATTTCCTCTTCAATGTTTATTAAACATTTTAAAACTAAAGAGTAACATTGTCAAATCAAAGGTTGTATAAACATGTATAGTATGGAGCAAACAAACATATTAAGGTAAGTAAGGGTAAATTGGATGTGGCAAACCTGACTCATGATTTCCAAGATCTCGTTTTATGAATAGCATTGAATTCTCTTTTGCTTTTTGCTTTTTTTTTGCCATTGTGATTTCGGCATTCAGAACAGCATAGGAAATGCAGATTCCAATGAAAAGAAGTACAAACGGAGCATAGCATCTCGACAACTTCAAACTCCTCCCCTTGATTCGTTCAACTGTGAGCACAACGTTTCGTCCCAAGTGGACAACCCACTTTTCAATTATCCCACTTTCGACCAACCTTAGAAGAATCCTATTAATAGGGTTTCGCAGATATGAATTCTTCTTGAGCATGAACTGAGTTGTGTGAGGTCGCAACAGGCAACCAGGAATAAATCTCACTGGAATCCTCACCCTAAGTCGCTTTGCCTCAGGAATTGAATAGTGGTAAATGAACCGTTTAACACCAAAAACTGCAAAGTCTCGATCTCGAACAATTCTTTGCGTAACCAACCCAAAGTCTTGTGGTTTTAGAGTCTCATAACGTTGCAGCAAAACTCTTGTTCGAGCGCTTCTGACAGCAATGTGATTCAGTAGTCGTAAAGTCTCCTGACCTCCGCCAACATGTAGTTTGGAGTATATAACATCTTCTGTAGTCATGAATTCCGGTCCCAGTAGAGGTACAGCCATGTAACTGCCAAGCATTGCCTTGTATGCTGTAGTGATCACCAAGCCAAACCAAAGCCAGTTTGAAATGAATATTCGCAAGGAAGATGCTTGAATTTTCTCATGATGTGGTTGCTCGATGAGAGTCGAAATAGTGTACATCAGAGAATACCAAACATTCCTGAACCTCCCGTCAGTTTTTGCGCGCATAAGTGCCGGTACGAAATATAAAGTCAATGTTGCACCTACCACAGAAATGAAAACCATCAACCAAACAGGCATAGAAAACTCACGAACGTAGTTTGACCAGCTATCCGGTTTCGGCCCGGCGCGGTAAGGCACTGCCCATCCAAAGCAGTCAATGCTAGTTTTTTGAGTACGCTCAACTCCATGGTATCCGTATTCGGCTTCAGAGAACCAACCATATGCCAAATCGTACTGTTCTTCAATCAAAGCCTTTGATATGAGTTCACCGGGTCCCTCTGTGAAGTACCATCCATACTCCTCACTCACGTTGTTATTTATAACGGATATGACTGGGTTGAAGTTTAATTTTTTTGCAACAATCTCTAGCACTTTTCCCCCTACTCCGTCTGACGTCCATGACCCATCATCTTGGCGAATCATAATATTGTCCGGTGGGCGGGTTATACCGAGGCATCTAATGTCACACCCATAGAAATTTTTAAAGTCAAAGGAAAATTTTCTACCCTTACTCATCGAGCCTTTCACAGGATCCCATGTATCTAAGAGAATTAATTGGCCACGATTCCAACAGTGGAATTTTGAAAATGGTTTATACGTATATAAACCAATACTTTTGTTTTCTCCTGACTCCCAAAGAGCAAGCACACTGAATATTCTCACAGACCAAAATTCCTCAAATAGATCGGTTATGGTCTCCTCATCAAAGTCAGGATGTTGAAAAACAGCCAGGTACACGGACATTTTCCCATGATTCAGAGATGGCATTAGGTTCGTGTAGTTGAAGTTTTTCTGGGGCAGTAAGATGACAAATTTTCTCATTGCAGGGATTTTTTCTTCGTCGATTATCATCATCGGATTGGTCAGTGAGTTGATTATGTTGTCAGCAATGGTGCTGGCAATAAATTCTCTTCTGAGGAGGATGACTGTGTGTCTGCCAGCATAGTCTTCAGTTGTATCAGCAATGCTTCTGAGCATTTCTGTGTTACGAGTTGTCAAGTTCAGATGCAGGTCACCTAAAGGTGCCACATACTGGGTCAAACCTATAACTAAAACACCAAGTGCCAGTATTTTTAACAGCATCATCTTGAGTTTCAATCTGTGACGAATATTATTCAATTATCTCTTACCATCCAATCTTCCACCTAGGTCAATTAATGTAAAAAATATTTCCAACTAATACATATCACACAAAAGCTTCTAAGCAGTCAAGTTAATTTTATTTCATTTTTTTGACTCAAATTGCAAGAATTTTAAGGCAAATCTAGCTGTGACTTTTGTTACAATGAAATGATTAGGCATCACATTTTTTTGTGTTTCCTAGGATAGCCCAAGATTTAGCACAGCATTAAGTCATAATTCATTCCCAATTTTAATCACTGTTAATATGTCCATGAGAGTGAGATTACCACTGATCGAGTTAAAATAACATAACATATTTACTGGGAAATATTTTCCAAAATTCAAAAATCACTTTTTCACAATTGGAACACATTGAAATAAATTCGAACTAAGCTCAAGGAGAGCCCTACTGGAAAGAAATATGCTCCTGTACCATGACGAAAAGAAAGCAAAGACAAGTAATTAATTAAGTAATTGTGCCTGCCATCAATTGATTTCTCCCTCCTCAGAACTTCCCTTTTAATTATAGTCAAGACTCAATTACCTTGAAAGCTTTGTTTATTCGATGTTTGAACCTTTGAAGTTCCTTTACTGTTTAGAAATCATCAATATTTACTTTCAAGGGGGAAGTTCACATACAGAGCTCAATTAATCATGCGTAATGGCTGATGGTAACGAATGACCCCTTTGCCGTCTCTATCTTGCCTAAGTTCAAGTGGAAATATGCACTTGAAGCACCCCTTCAAATGACAAACATTTTACTCTTGTGGAAACAAGAAAAATTAAATTGGATTAAAATTACAAATTACAATTCTTGTGAAGAAAAATTACAGAAAGTTGGTCGTCAAAAGGTGTGAGTGGGAAAAGATTTTCAGGTGTGGTGGAGGGAGGGCATCAAACTATTTAATATTTGAGGGGTCAAGTGGTATTAAGTGGTCATGTGCAAGCAAAATTTTTTGAGGGAGCTGTGATCCAATTGAAAGGCTCTGCTTTTTACCAAAGGTAGCAAAACGTCTCCATCTAGAAACGAATGAAACACTTAGCTTTGAAAGTTTCACATTAAATCACATGAAACTCTTCGACGAATTTTGAGCCCGTCAACTATGAATTCGTATCCTGAAGACTTCATTACGGTCTGAAAGGTGAAGGATATTTTATCTCAATTGAATGGGCGTTGAATACATCAATTTGCGCTCGAATGCACGTGACATTGCATACGCACCTAATTGAAGGCATTTTGAAATGCGGTGAAAGATGACAAAGAACATTAAGGAAACAGAAGTGTTGAAGAGACAGCTCCCGTCGTCGCCTAACAGACTGATTTAGTGGCTACTTCTTTCGATAACTCGCCGTCAAATTTCGCCGTTCTCGCAAATCCATCTATATCAAATCGGTTCATTTGGACTACATTTTGCAATTATCTAGGAACTGAAATTTTTGGTAGTTTAGAAACAACGTATGTACCATTAGTTTCCCTTTGTGCTTAAGTGCTTGCACAGATAAGTCAGAAATTGTATGTAGTTCTGTAGAAATTGCATAATATAGTCCTTTGTCGGGTGGAACTGCCTAATACGACGAGGAAGTCGCACCTAATCAGTCTCCAGCTAGAGGGGACCTCATCTCTATTTTCAACCGAATAGAGGAGTCTGCTCCTCAAAGTTTGATGACGTCACTGTTGACGAGTGACTCTCGCGACGTGACAGCGCTATTTGCCTCTGTTTTGAGTTTGACCTAGGGTAACCTAAAATCAAAGCGGCCGCGGCCGCTCGCATTCCCGTCGGACGCAAAGAGGCGATTGACCAATCAAAAAATGTCCTTTCCACGGAATGCATTCTGAGTCGCCGTATGAGTAACCATTGGAGGTGGATGGTCCGTTTTCCAATTGGCCACGCGATTTGTAGCGCGTTTTAATACGTCCATAAACGAATCTTTGGAGGGATTTCTGAGGCACCGCTCTCAAAAATCTACCAATGTTACTCGCCTAAACTTCAAAAATCTTAAGATCAGAGCACCAACATGCTGATATAGTAACAATAAAACTTTAAAAACTGACTAAAATTCAAGGGAAAGTAGACTAGTACAAGTAAAATCACGCCCAATCTATACAGATACATCAGAAAGACTTTTTTGCTTTGAAGTAATTATGTCTTTAATAATTCTCCTGAATACTGTAAAGGTAGTACTTTTTGTAAAGTGTAATTGGAATTAGTCTAATCTTACTTTTAAACAATTAAGATAAGCTTTTAAAAGACTTTTTCTGAAGTCTAAAAGTGTATTTTGTACAAATCTCTTATGTGCAAATAAAAAAAAAAAAAAGTAAAAACACGTCTATAAACGAAGCCTTGGAGGTATCCCCGAGGTAAAGTTCTCAAAAATTTACCAATATATTTCCAGGGTGTCTAGCTTCAGGAAAAACCGGAGAATATTAGGAATTTTGGTCAATCAGGAAAATCGGAAAAATTGGACGTTTTATCAGGAATTTTTCTTACGCGAATCTCCTCAGCGGAGAAAGTCTTACTCCTTTTTGCCTACCGTGCCCGGAGTCGAGAAAAATCAGGATAATATCAGGAATTTTTGAAATGAAAAAATCAGGAATTTTTTTATAAATTATCAGGAAAAATCAGTAAAATGCCAGGATTTTTCAAAATTAAAAGATACTAGACACCCTGATTTCGCCAAAACTGCTGATATACCGATAGTAACAATAAAACTTAAAAAACTGACTGAAATTCAAGAAAAAGCAAACTATTTCAAATTTCAAGTTATTTTGAACGATCAGGACACGCGGATGGTCCATTTTTGGCGATGCGAGTACCTACCGCGAATTTCCATCCTAGGTTACCGTAGTTTGACCCGTACGGAGGAGGTTGTCTCTCCGGGTTCGATGACGTCAACGGCGATGAGCAGCCGTGACGTCACTGCCAAAAATGCGGATCGGTACTTCCGATCGGTTCATTCACATCACTTCCGCGACCGGACCCTGCTCTTGAATCGGCGAGCGGATCTGCTCGCGCCGCATCGCAGTTGGACGCACCGGCGGCGGCGACGACAGCGCACTCCCCGAATTGAGCGTTTTACCAAAGAAGGCTCGCATTCTTTAACAAGTTTTGACACCTACTCAATTTATATACATCTCCGCTGGCAGGCCTATTTCCTCCGTCCGCGCCTTATTTGGTCGCGGATAAGAAATCCGTCGCTTTTTATTTTATTCGCTTTTTTAATCGACAATTTACTCGCTCCGTGCCCTTGCACTCGGGAGTTGGCTCCGACAGTTTCTCGAACATTCCCGCTCAGGAAGGAAGGAAAGTACCGAGTCTCCATTGGACTCGTATACTGCCGCGTAAAGGAAGAACGCCGTATGAGCCTTCAGATGTTGCCAAATTTCCTTCGGTAAATCACGAATTCTCGGGAAAATTCGTAAATATTTTTTCCCCAAGTTGTTACATAATTTTGTTTCAGGGTGTCTAGTATTTTTTAATTTTGAAAAATCCTGATATTTTACTGATTTTTCCTGATATTTTATAAAAAAAATCCTGATTTTTTCATTTCGAAAATTCCTGATATTTTCCTGATTTTTCTCGTAAAAACTATATTTATTGCATAAATGCATGTGGAAACTAAATTTTCTGACAAAGAGAGAAAAATTTCCGATGAAACGTCCGATTTTTCCGATTTTCCTGATATTTTCCTGATTTTCTCCTGATCGGCCAAAATTCCTGATATTTTCCAGTTTTCCGGGTTTTCCTGATGCTAAACACCCTGTGTTTGCAATTTACCCTAAGTGCGTAAAAATGTAAAGGAACGATTTTCGTAGCTTTCCGCAGAAATAAACATTTCATCGGAGGAAATTTGGCAACTCTCGAATGCTCAAACGGCGTTCTTCCTTAGCACGGTAGTATAGTGCCTACGTCATTTTTGCGATTTTCCATTCTTCGATTCATCGATTTTTAATAGGGTTAATGTAAGCATTAAGCTGATTGGTCGCAGGTTTTTGGCGTGCGATGTGTCGCATCGATGAAGTCCAAAAATGTTGGCAGATGTTGACTTATCAGTCAAAAAAAAGGGCGTTAGATGCCCTTGCGCAAAGAGCTGGAAGAAAAATGGGACTACGTTTTGCAATTAGGAACTAATATTTCTGGCTCTTCCAAGAAAGCACCTAACTGCATAGGAAAACTAATGACACTTATGCTGTTTCTGAAATGGTAATTATAGTTCCAAGTTGCAAAATGGAGCCCAATTCTCAGTCCAAAAAATTGTCAAGTTTAGAGAAATGAAAGGAGCATTCTCCTTAAAAAAATACTGTTTTCAGTTCTTTACGTATATGTAAGAGACGGCTTAATTTTGCACTCTGTCTAGTGATCAATTTAGTGTCGAAGCAATACAATCTCCAAAAGCCGCATTCTAAGTTTTATTTTGTCGGCCTAAGGTGATACAACCGAGTGTAAAAAGTGTTCGGGTTGATACGTTTCGCATTTTTTTCCTATTCTCCTTTCTCCAAGGCTCGTTGAACACTTCTCTAGATTTCGGCATCAAAGACTCAATTTTCAGTTTTTGTAAACTAGGGTACCATTCAGGAGTGCAAAATCTCCGTGATCTTTTGGTCCTAGAATTGCAGGCGCGCGGTGTGCACTGGTCGAAAATCGTGTGCACTGCGGGCGATAGATACAACACCGAGAAATTAC